ACGCTTGGAAACGTCATGGGACGTTTCGGAGCGCCTGGAGCAGCCTGGGGGGCGCTTGGGACCAACATCGGAGTCGGCGACGGGCGCCCGAAACGTGTCGATGTATCATGCCATTCCTGACCACCCTGTGGTGTTGGGTATTCGTCTCGACGAGACAATGCCCCGCGTCTCCTCTCATCTATTTTCCTCTCTTGTCCTCTCTTCTCATCTCCTCTTCCTCTCCTCTCCTCTCTTCTCCTGTTTATCCTCTGCTCTCCCCCCTCTCCTCTCATGTCTTCTCCCCTCCCCTCCTCTCTTTTCTTCTCCTCCCCTCTCCTTTTTTTTCCTCGTGCCAAACTCTCGTAGCTCCCGAAGTATACGATGGCAATGAAGAGCCAACTAAGAAACTTCAATGACATTTCTCACCTCGCGCTCGGTCTGACCCAAGGGCCCTACCAAACGAGTGGGCCAAACGGTTGCGGTCGCTTGGCTGCTCGCACGATGTGTGCTACACTCTTCTCTGCCCTTCTACTGCATGCTGCGCCGACGTACAGCGTGTAGTTCGCATCCGTAAGCGAGTCAACCAACATATCTTGATCTGGAATCTCACATGTTGTTGGGGCGAGAAATGATGGTAGTGCAGACGTGATAGCAGTAGGGCAATCTGTTCTTGCCATAGTGCGCAAAGCGTATTTGCAAGCTTAACCAAGACGCGCGCGTTGCAGCGCTCGTCGCGCATGCCCATCGCGCGAGACCGTCGCCGCTCGCGCCGCCGCGCGCGCAGCGGCGCGCCTTCGCGGGGGAGCTCAGCGCCGGGGGGGGGGGGGGTCGTCGCTCCAGTTTGGAACAAACTGCCACGTTTGCGTGGCAAACGCAGCGATCCCTCCCCCCAGGCAGACTTCGGGTGGCTCGCGCGCGCGCGCGGGCGGCGCGAGTCACCCGCGGCGCGCCTTTTTATGATTATTATTATTGTTATTGTTGTTATTACTCTCATTATTATTATTATCATTATTCTTATTATACATTGTATTTTGTTCGGCGAGCTCCCCTCGCGATCACGCAGAAGTCGCCATGTTGGCTGGTGGGGCCGAGCTCCAGTTAGCGCGTTCCCATTCGTTCTTGTTTTTTTTGTTATGCTTTTTGTTTCTCTCTTCTTTTATATTTCCCATGTCGGGCATGTTCGCCCCCGTCGCTCAAGGCCAACGCGAGCGCGCCGCCGCGCGCGCGACGACGCCCAGTGGCGCCGTCCGTCAAAACGCCAAAGCGCGAAACCGCAATCCCTGGACTTCCGCGGATCTGGAAGTCATGGCGACGCATTATGGGGGACAGATGTTGTAGACCTTACCCAAGCAGGGGTTGCAGGAATGCGGGGTGGAGCTGAGTGCGCAACTCCAGGCCGTCTTCACTGAGGGGGGCGCGTGGATTTTCATGGCGAGGCCGCGGCGTCGCGCGCTGCCCGCGCCAGCGCAACGCGGGGGGGTGCAGAGGGGGGGCATTTTGGCAAGGGGGCGCAAGAGGAGGAATAGAAGCGGGTGTGGAGGACATCCCGCCCCGCCCCCTCGCGCCTGTGCGAGTTGCCCTTGCCCCCGCGCCCCCCGATTGCACCCCCTCGCGCTGCCCCGCGCCATCTGCCCGCGTTGCCATTTTGGCCCAAATCCGGCCGACGCTTCGCGAAAAACATTTGCCCCGATTGCGCGTGCGGCGCGCGTGCCAAGACGTGGCGGCCGGGCGAATGAACGCGCCGTTGCCTCTCGGGTTCGCCGTTGCGCTGGGGCTCGGCGCGTTGCCCGAGCGCCCGCAATTCGGCGCCCACGGAATAGCGAAGGCTCGGTGGGTTCCAAGAGCTGGTCGTTCCAGCCCTCGCGCTCAGACGGCGTCGGCGCGACGTTGCAAATGTGAAATCGTTGGGGGCAGATTTTTCACGGTTGGTGGCGTCATGCGATTTTGACATGGTTAATGCAGGAATCCAGCGGGTGGTGCTTGAGACCGCTGGCCTTCAGGTCGTCCACCGCGCGTAGCCCCCGACTTCTTGGTGCGTCCACCTGGCCGTGCATGGGCTTGATGAGCTTCATCAGAGTGCCCGGTTCAATGCCCATAAGTTCTGCCGCGCCCTTGGGCACCTTCGCGTATAGCTCACGCTCTTGGGACGTTGCTGAAGAAAGGCCGTCGCCGCGTCTGCTGTCCAGAGCCTCCAGCCGTTCTTCGCCGCTGGTAACATGGCCATCTGTCATGCCAACCTTGATGCCGTAGGCGATGCCGTAGGGACGGTGCCTTTGAGCGCGTTGGGGTCGTTGAAACCCTGCAAGACCAGCCGCGCCGTGGCCATTTGTGAGCCGTCGTCGTTCTTCGTCAAGACTCCGCTTGGGGTCCTCCTTGCCGGTGGGCTTGTGAAACTCCCAAACATCACGGCCGAATAATTCCGTCATTTCCTTTCGTTTGCCCTGCAAGAAAGCCGCGCGCTCATGGGGCGTAATGCTCCTCGTGCTGATGTCCACGTAGATATCGTTGAGTTTCGCCTCGTTGCCGTCGAACTCCCAGCCGAAGGGCAAGGTCTGGCTGGTGACCATGAGCTGTAGGGCCGCAATCTCGGCGTCAGCGTCGTGTAGGTGTGGTACTGGCACCGTTGAGATCAGTCCTGGACCTGGCAGCGGTCCTCGGTAAACCCCGCCCGGCCTGCTGTAGATCGCCGCCTCCGACTGGTCCATTTTGAACCGACCCCTCTGCAGATTCGAGAGAGACCGCATCGCTGCTTGAGTAGGTCTGAGGTCCTCAGAGACTGCTGATGATGCCGATGCTGCTGAGGCCGCCTGCGCTGGCTGCGCTGGCTGCGCTGGCTGCGCTGCTGGTTGAGCTGCTGGTTGCTCGCCCTCAGTTGGTGGTGTAATTGGCATCGGCTCCTGGTCGGGTTGACCTGCCGACGACTGGCGACTGCCGTTAGGTGCTGCCATCTCCGCGTCTGGTGCTTCCTCCGCTGGTGCCGGTGCCGCTGCCGCCGCTGCTGGGCTCGAAGCTGCCGGTGCCTCCGAAGGTGCCGCCGACGCTGCTGGGCTCGAAACTGCCGGCGCCTCCTAAGGTGCCGCCGCCGCTGCTCCCGATGATGCCGATTGAGATGGTACCTCCACCTCGGGGACCGTAGGGCCTGGACTCGATCCTCGAAGCCGCCTAGATGGTAGACGTCCGTTTCCGTCATCTTCGCAGTCGTTGTCGCCGTCATCAATGTCCATGTCCAAGTCGCCCGCTGCGTCGAACGGGGGTTGCTGTGAGTTGATGTCGTGGTACTGCGTCACGCCCGTCCTCCGCATACTGCCCAGTGCGTCCTTCGCCTGGGTCAGGTTCTCGAGTGGAGCGCACCCTTGATCGCTCACGTCTGGCCGTACATGTGCGGGTGCACACCGTAGTAGTTGAGTGCCGTGAACAATCCAGTAGATGCGTGGTCCACTCTCGTCTCGGCGAATCTCCTTGAATGCCGCGACCGCGGGGCCCTTCCACTTGTTCTTGATGAGCTTGTTGGCCTTGAGTCTTGACCTCGCGCCGATCGCAAGGTCGTGCTTGAGAGCCACGTGTCGTCGTGGAATTGCGCGTCGTAGTTTGGCCGAGGCGTCTGCCTTCATGAAGGCGAGCCCCGCCATAGACCTCCTGTCCAACGCGACCTTGAAGTCCTCGTCCTCCTTCATCTGGTACAGCGTAGCTTGTGAGAACTTGTCGCTCGAGTTGGTCATCGTCGTAGTGGGGTCCATGCAATGAACGCCAGGCGGTTGACCTGGTGGGGCACGTAGATACACGCCTCGGTGATCAGCTTCTCGTCGAGCACCGTGTTACCCGTCCGCTCGATGGCGTCCTGACAGTAGAGCTCGATTGCTTCTCGAACCACCTGATGACGTCGCTCCACCACTCCGAGACTTGCATGAGCCGCGCCTGCTGCGGTCACGATGCTCCAGGAACTGCGTGAACTTGTCCGACGCGAGACCTGAACCGTCATTGGTACGTAGCTCGCCCATGGGACCGAACTGCCTGATCCAGCCTCGCTCGACTGCTGCGATCAGCTCCTCGGCCGTCTTCGTCTTGATCGCCCGTAGGGCACAGTACCTGGTCGCGCCGTTCACCATCGACAAGATCGCCGTCTTCCCAGTAGCGGTCTAGACCCAGAACACGTCGGTGTAGACCGTCTCGTCGATCTTCGTCGGCTGCTTGGTGGATGCTGTGGGGGCCTTCGGTGGCCGTTGCCGTTGCATGCAGTGCTCGCACCGAGACTCGGCCGCGCAGTCCAGCACGTTATCTTGAGCTCTCGCCTGCTGGAGTAGCCGATGTGGTACCGCCGGATTGGGGTAACCCATGTTCCGGTGGTAGCCGCTTGACGTAGCACAGCGCCTCGGTGCCATACTCCTCGCGCAGCTGCAGGTGCGCGTGGACAACCTCCTCTTTGGCCGCCTCGTCTGTGTGGTAGTGTTGCTGCCGCTGCTGACGTCCTCGCAGTTGTAGATCTCCACGGTCTCGGCCTCCACCATGGCTTGAGCTAGCGTAGCTGCCAAGATAAACGTGCAGTCCCGGGGCGCCTTCGTGCGCGCTTCACGCTGCCACTGTCAAGGTTACCCTCTAAGGTGGCGTGCTGATGGCTCTTGTCGCATATCGTACTCATCACCGCTGCCATCAGCTTTTTGGTGGTCTTGGTGGTGGTCGGTTTCTTGACCGGGTGGTCGCCTGCACCTGGAAGGGTGAGGCCGTGCATGCATTGGTCGTAGGTCGCCGTGATGCCCGGTAGGTTCGCCCAGGCCTTGGTTTGCCAGGGCCTCGATGTTGCTGGATGCTCGACGTGAGCGCGTTGTCCGCCTCGTTGCTGCATCTGGTAGACGTCAGCCACGAACTGCAGGTGCGTCCAATGATGCCAGTCGCGTAGCTCCACGAGGTATTCCAGCCAGCCTGGATGCTGGTATATGTTCAGCTCCTGCATGTTGGACCAGGGGCCGCATATCGTGGAGAGAAGGACCTCGTCGGGCTGCTCCTCCGAGAGCCTGCGCTTGAACTTCTCCTGATGCTCGATCTTCGCGAAGTCCCATCCGGCATGCAGTCCGAACGTCTCGACGTCCGCGCCGAGATCCCGTAGGCTCTGAGATAGCTGTGCTTCGCCCGCGTAGACCTCCCAGACCTTCCGTCTCGTAGTACACCGTTTAGCTGAGGCCCGTCGCATCGTCTGCATGTACTGGTCGCTCGCGTGCTTGATCGCCGAGTCGATCTCCCGCGCGAAGTGGGCCGTGACCTGCTTCTTGTCGCCGTCGTCGCCAATGGCGGTGTCCTGCTCCGTGAGCTGCACCTCGTCACTGTAGGCTTCCGCCAGACACCAGCATGGCTCTGGCAGGTTCTGGTCGACCGGCTGCACCGGCGTCGTAGTGAAGCACGCGTTGCCGAACTCAGTGTGGCTAAGGCAACGGCACTGCTTCATGTACTCGCCGTAGCAGTTGACCTTCACGACCCTCTGCGGGCATGCCTCCGAGTGAGCCCGCTGATGTAGGGGTTCCCACTGCTCCTCTTCGCTGCTGCAGGTGTCTACCGCGTAGACTGTGTCCAAGAGCTCTGTGGCGCTGATTGGTTGGCTGCCGTCCAGGAAGTCTTTGAAATCGACCAGCCCGTACTCGAAGTCGAACTGCTAGTCCGTCTGGTCGTCCAGGCCCTCCAGGAGGTCCATCATGTAGTGGCCCTGTGGGGACGTAGGCGCCTACTCGACACTGCCACCGTTCCCGGATAAGTGCAGATTCGCGAAAATGACCTGGACTTCGACCTTTCCGAGTAGAGGTCGTGGGAATAATTTTGGCGTCATTCCTGGAGCCAGGTAGATGCACAGGGTTCCCGTCTTGTTCTTGAAACTCGCTAGTATGATGCCGCACCAGAGCGCGTGCCCAACCTTGCCACTGCCGAACCTGAATGGCCTCCGACATCTATGAAACTCCAGCGTCTCGATCGGGTATCCCTTGACGCTGCACTGAGTCAGGTAGTCCTTGATGGTGTCCGAACCCCGACATAAGCGTAGTCGCGCCGCCGTCCAGGATAGCATGCCACGCGGGAATGATGCTGGCCGTCTTGCGGTTGTCCTAGTAGACCTCGTCCACCATCATCTCGTCCACGGAGGAGCGTGGCCGCTTCTTCGGGGGCTCTGGGCAATCCTTGGCCCAGTGACCCACGCTGCCGCATCGGAGTCACGTCGCCGAACTCGGTGTCGGCTTGTTCGGCGGTGGCCCCGATGGTCTTGGCCGCGTGCAGGGGTTGTGGGGAGGTGGTGGTGCCGGCAATGGTGATCCTTTCCGTCCAGGGCCGCCCTTCCGTCCAGCTCCTTTCGACCTTCCCCGTCCCTTGGAGCCCCTGCTCGGTGGACGCCGTGCTGCTGGAGATGGTGCTGTCGCTAAGCCCGTCGCGCCCAGTGCCGTCGCCACGACCGTGAAGAAGCAGCGTGATAGTTTGAGGTCGTTGAACTCAGCCACTCGCAGAGGGGGGTGGGGGGAGGGGGGAGGGCTTCTTAGAAGCACCCCTGCTTCTTAGAAGGCGCGGGCCTTATCCATAAATGTAAGGCCGGCGCCTTCTAAGAAGCAGCCTCCTAAGAAGCCCCCCCCCCCGCCTGTCCCTCCACTTCTTGTGCGCGCCGCCAACACCACCTATCTGGAGGGTGTTGGCTGCGGAGCACGGCATGCAGCAGCATTGCCGAAGCAGTGTTTCCTCCTCCGTTCCTCCCTCTCCTCCTCCTCCTGCCCCCATTGTGCGCGCCGCCTCTATGAGCCGCTTGCGTGCGTCGTGGTAGGCCGCGTAGACCTCGTCGTACGTCGAGGCGTCGACGCCCTGCACCGTGGCCGTGTCCCGCCAGCAGTAGGCTTCCTCGTGGTCGTACCAACCTTCGTCGCCTTCTGCCGTCCAGTGCTCCTGCTCGTGGCCTTCGTCGAAATCTCCTTCGTCGTCTTGGCCAACCTGCTTCTTCCTCCTAGTACTCTCCAGTATGCTCGTCGACGGAGTGCTGCTTTTTCGCATGATTAGGCTCGTGTTTAACATGCTCTCATGCCTGACTGTTGCCTCCAGCGCCTCTATCACCTTGTCCTGCGCAATGTCTTTGCCCACGATGGACATGATGACTGATTTCTGATCTGCACTGTAGCCGCCGCGCCGTGGTGCGATCCATCCTCGAACCTTCGGTGGCAACTCGATGTCGTGAGTCTTGAGCTTCCTGTCGGCAGCTCGAACACGTGAAACGTAACTGAAGAGCGTCTCGCCCTTCACCCGCTTGAGCTTGAAGAAATACTCCACGAAATCTTCTGCCAACTCCGTCCGCGTGTCCATCGTGAACCTCTTTCGCAATCTGGTGATGAGTGACGTCGCCGCGCCAGGCTTGACCAGGTCGTATGCCGTGAGGTCCTCGACCTCGTCCCACGCGTCGCCTGTAATCCCGGCCGATAGCATGAGAGCTGCCTCGCCCTCCTTCTTCTCCAAGGTAAGCTTTGCTATGAACATAGTCGCCCGCTTCTCGTACTGCTTCCATCTCGAAATTGTGCCGTCGAACTGTGGAACACCGCGTTCCGGTATAACTGCTTGCTGTTGAACGCTGCCTGCTGACTTCGCCATGGCTGTGATGAAGGCCTTGGCCTCGCTGATGGAAAGGTGCTGCTTGTACACGAGCTGCTCGCTGGCGCTGCTGCCGTTGTCGTCCAAGACCTCGCTGGAGGTCGAGTCCGAGTAGTTGTCGCCGAAACGGGGCTCGAAGCCGAATATGGAGTCGCAGCCGTCCAGGTCGAACGGGCTGCTGAATTTGGAGGGCGCAGACTAGCCTGCCGAGAGATCGACAGGCTCCGCTACCAATATAAATCTCTCGTAGCTCCCGAAGTCTACGATGGCAATGAAGAGCCAAATAATGAAAGATACTACCATTTCTCACATCGCGCTCGGTCTGACTCAAGGGCCCTATCAAACGATTGGGCCAAACGGTTGCGATCGCTTGACTGCTCACACGATGTATGCTAGACTCTGCTCTGCCCTTCTATTGCATGCTACACATATGTACGGCGTATATGTCACATCTCCTCTCCTCTCCTCTCCTCGCCTCTCCTGTCCTCTCCTCCTTTCTCCTCTCATTCCTCCTCCTCCTCCTCCTCCTCCTCCCGCCCTTGTTTCTGCCTTCTGCATGTCCATCATATGTCAACGCACCCAGTACGACGTTTCGTGGCTCCAGTGGCTGTGATCGCATGCGTCCCCGCGCCACGCAGCACGGCGTTTCGTGGCCCCATAGGGAGCTCCACCGAAGGCCCCAGTGGCTGTCAGCACATGCGTCCCGCGCCAGTCAGCACGCCGCTTCGTGGCCCCATAGGGAGCTCCACTGAAGGCCCCAGTGGCTGTGATCAGATGCGTCCCGCGCCACGCAGCACGGCGTTTCGCGGCCCCATAGGGGGCTCCACCGAAAGCCCCAGTGTCTGTGATCACATGCGTCCCGCGCCACCCAGTAAGGCGTTTCGTGGCCCCATAGGGAGCTCCACCGAAGGCTCCACTGGCTGTGATCACATGCGTCCCGCGCCACGCAGCACGGCGTTTCGCGAACCCCATAGGGAGCTCCACCGACGGCCCCAGTGGTTGTGATCACATGCGTCCCGCGCCAGTCAGGGCCTTGCGTGGCCCCATAGGGAGCTCCACCGACGGCCCCAGTGGCTGTGATCACATGCGTCTTGCGCCACGTAGTACGGCGTTTCGTGGCCCCACAGGGAGCTCCACCGAAGGCCCCAGTAGCTGTGATCACATGCGCCCCGCGCCACTCAGAACGGCGTTTCGTGGCCCCATAGGGAGCTCCACCGAAAGCAGCTGGGGCCATGATCACATGCGTCCCGCGCCACGCAGCACGGCGTTTCGTGGCCCCATAGGGAGCTCCACCAGGGGCCCTTGTGGCTGTCAGCACATGCGTCCCGCGCCAGTCAGTACGGCGTTTCGTGACCCCGTAGGGAGCTAGCTCCATTGAAGGCTCCAGTGGTTGTGATCACATGCGTCCCGCGCCACTCAGAACGGCGTTTCTTGGCCCCATGGGAAGCTCCACCGAAGGCGCGAGAGGCTGTGATCGCATGCGTCCCCGCCACCCATGTTGGCACACCCCTCACGCTTCGTGGCCCCAGAGAGTGCGCCACCGAAAGCCCAAACGGTTGGGCCCGCATGCGTCCCCGCTGCCCTTTTCGGCACACCTCTTATACATTCCGTGGCCCCATAGGGAACTCCACCAGGGAGGACATGTTCAATTGCGGTATTCACATCTGCATCTGGCTGGGTCCTTCGCCAGGATAATTTTCCCTTCGTGTGCCCAGGGGCTCTTCGGGGCCAATGTGGGCCGATTTTGAAGATCAGTCACTGTGCACCGAACGCATTTTCCAGGATTGTGATGGTTGGGTCGGACGGGTGTGCACCGAGTTGTGTTTTTGCATAAGATGGTGAGGGTAGGGTCGGGTGGATGTGCTCCAGATACCATTCTAAAGGGATGATGAAGGCTCGCTCGTGTGGTTGCACACCGAATTCTGCCAGTTGCACAGGTTGGTGACCGTTGGGTCGGATAGATGTGCACCTACGAATTCTCCGTGCGTAGAATGCTGAAGGTTGGGCCGTTTGGATGTGCGCCGAATCATTGTTTTTGCATAGGACTGGGGGGCTGGGTCGTATGTATGTGAGCTAGATGGTTGGGCCGAATGGATGCGCACCGAAGAACAAATTTTGCGTACGATGCTGAGGGTTGGGTTGCATGGATGGGTGCGGCGCTTCGGTGAAAACTATATTTTTAAAGGAGCAATTCTCCATTTTTGAAGTGGTTGCATGTGTTACGAAGAATGTGCGCGGTGCGCAGGCGGGAACCACATTTTGAAAATCGAACCCGCCTCGATCCTTGAGCCTGTTGCAAGTTTTAAGACGAGTGCGCGCGGCGTTTAGGTGAGATCTGCATTTTCAAGACCACCCGGGCTTCATCCTTGAAGCTACTGCAGTTTTCAAGGCTCAGGTCCACAATCGGCGAGGAGCTCTCGTGAGAAACGCCCCGCCCGTCCGGTGGTGCGACAAGGAGGTTCTATTTATAAGGAAAAGGAGTGGAGGAGGACGAGGAGGAGGAGGATGACGAGGAGGAGGAGGAGGTGGAGGAGGAGGAGGAAGGAGAAGGAGGAGGATGAGGCGGTGGAGGTAGAGGGATAGAACGACGCGGAAAACCGACGAGCAGGAACCCGAAGCCCCCCACGCCTGGCCGCCCGCCTCACCTGTTCGAGCTGCCCGCTGCCCAGCCACTTTCGCGCAGCCCCGCCAGCCCAGCGACAGCCATGCGCGCCGCAGCTGTGTTTGCCTGCGTCGCCGCCGCTGTGGCCGCGGACCCCTCTGGCTTCGAGGTGGTCTCCGACAGCAGCGCCGTGGTGCCGTTGACCACTCTGCGCGGCAACGCGACGGACACCGTGAGGAGGAGGAGGAGGAGAGAGAGGAGGAGACGGAGGAGGAGGAGGAGGAGGAGGAGGAGGAGGAGGAGGAGGAGGAGGAGGAGAGAGGAGGAGAGGGGGAGCAGGAGGAGGAGGAGGAGGAGGAGGAGGAGGAGGAGGAGTACAATAGGCGGACGAGAGCGGGGGAAGGACAGAGAGAAGAAGAACGGGGGAGGAGGGGAGGAGGAGAGGAGGAGGAGGAGGAGGAGGAGGAGGAGGAGGAGGAGGAGGAGGAGGAGGATGAAAAGGCGGAGTAGGAGGAGGAGGAGGAGGAGGAGGAGGGGGAGGAGAAGGAGTAAGAGGAGGAAGAGGGGGAGGAGGACTAGTGCGAGCCCAAGATTTTTCGACGATGTTGGAATACGGTAGGTTTGCGTCGTGTCGACCGGCGGCGACCCCGCCAGCGGCGTTCAACCTTGAACGCCGCGGGCGACCCAGAATCGTTCGATGTGTAACGATTTGGACGTTTCGGAAACGGCCGATCGTTCAAGGTTGAACGATCCCCGCGGTGTCAGAAACCAACGCCAGGGTCGACACGACGCGAACCTGCCGTACACACTCTCTCCAAGCTTCTTCTTCACAGGCTCCCTACAAGGGTTCGTTGCTACTGGTGGAATTGCCCCGTCGGGGAAAAACTGTGTGAAAATCCTGCAGCGTGCCAACGCACCATTCTCAGGACTTCAACGCCATGAGGTAACCTTACTGTTACGTCTAGGCGATCCTCAAGCGTGCCAGACCATTACGCCTGGGACTTCCACATTGCCAATCAACGTAATGAGTGCGCCATGGCAGTCCTGAGTCTTTCTAAAACACAATGTTTGGCACGTTAACCATGTGATTCAGCGAAACTCTTGTAATTGTTCTAAATAGCTGTTCGGCGCTAAGGCGAAAACCGCATTTTGGAAAGGCGCCCCCCTCAATCCGTGACACTGTTGCCTTTTTTCTTAACGTAACTGCGCGGCGCTGAGGCGATGGCCACACACTAAAAAAACTACCCGCCCTCAACCCGTGAAGCTTTGCAGCAAAAATGTCAAAACGAATGTGCGCGGCGCCAAGGCGAGAGCCACATTTTGAAAATGACCCGCCCTCAATCCGCGAAGCTCTTGCACATGATAGAACGAATGTGCGCGGCGCTAAGGCGAGAGCAACAGTTTGAACAGGAACCGCCTTCAATCTGTGAAGTTCTCGCATTTTTTTGAACCCAATGTGCGCGGCGCTAAGGCGAGAGACTCATTTCGGAAGCGGCTCTCCCTCCATCCATGAAGCTGTTTTCAGTTTTCTAGCTGCAGGCTCACGAGCGGGAAGGAAGTCTCAGGCGAAACACCTTGCCCGCCTTTCGATGGGCCTCGGGGTGCGACAGGGATGAGCATCGATGAGGAAAATGGAGGAGGAGGAGCAGGATGAGCAGGAGGAGGCGAAGGATGAGGGGGAGGGAGGCGACCGAGGGCGCGGTCGCCGTCGAGGGCAGCGACCCCACGTGCGTTACCGCGGAGGTAATCCTGCAGAAGCTCGTGGAGTTTCAGTGCGGCGTCTCCGAGGTCTCCTGCGTGTACAAGATGGACGGGGACTGCGACGACTGGCGCCGGAGGGACAATCACAGCCAGTCAAGCAGCACAGTCTGCATGCCACGCTTCATCAAGGATGCGACGCGATCGCGACGCCTCGGGGCGCGGCGGCGACGCTGCGAGTTCGGCTCGCACACTGGGATCAACAGAGAACAGCCCACGGCGGGAATCCATACGCAAGCTACAGTTGGGGCCCATGCCAAGAAGCACCCCGCTTGCCTCCAGGGTGCCCTGGATTTCTTGGGTTTCGATGGTTTTGCTATGGGTAGCGTGACGTGCCCACACCAAACATCAGTGGACGTCCTGGGGTCTCAGGGTTGGACTTGTCGTGTAAGGTTTCTTATGGTCGAGCCCCTACTGCACGCAAGCTAGGGCCGACAGCGTCTATGGACCTCCGAGGGCGGAGGTCGTTCAAGCACGGAACGCCTCTCACGCCGTGTCGGGAGGCAGGGCCTACGTCGGCAAGGCAGGAACCTGCCGTGCCCCTGCATCCTTGCCAGGAGGGTTTCTCCGAAGGGCTTAGGCGACCCGTCCTCTTCCTCCTCCTCCTCCTCCTCCTCCTCCTTCTCCTAGGTGGTTCAGCAGCGCGGCCTAGCCATTTCGACGCGGCCCGCGGAGCTGATGCCCCCAGCGCCGCCGGCGCTCCTCCTCCTCCTCCTCCTCCTCCTCCTCCTCCTCCTCCTCCTCCTCCTCCCCCTCCCTCCTCCATCTCCTCCTCCTCCTCCACCTCGGTTCGCCTACGGCCCGGAGGGAAACTGTGCATCCTTGCCTGTTCGGTTCATCCCTGGCCGATCTTGTCGACCTTCTCCCGAGGGGCCATCTGCAGCGGTCTGGGTCCTTGGCCTGCGCCCCCGCCCTGCTTCGCCTGCTTTCCCCCCCCCCCCTCTCTCTCTCTCTCTCTCTTTTTGATCTCTCTCTCTCTCTCTTGCTCTTTCTCTTTCTTTTGGTTTCTCTCCCTCTCTCTCTCTCGATATGTCAGTCTCTGGCTCTGTCTCCGTCTCTGTCCCTGTCTCTCTTTCTCTCTCCCTCTGTGTGTCGATGCCCCCCCTCTCTTTACACATATGCACGTCTGTGCATACATGCACAGGTGCGCTACCTGTGTTCCTGTCTGTCTGCCTGCCTGTCTGTCTGTTGTCTGTATGTTTGTCTGTCTGTCCGTTGCGCGTGTGTGTGTGTGTGTGTGTCTGTCTGCCTGCCTGCCTGCCTGCCTGCCTGCCTGCCTGCCTGCCTGCCTGTCGGTCTGCCTGTCTGTCTGCCTGCCTGTCTGTCTGACTGCCTGTCTGCCTGTCTCTACCTCTTTCAATCTCTCCCTCTCTCAACTCCGAGCTTCCCTTTCCTCCTCTCTCTCCGCCTCATGCTCTTCATATTGCTCCTTCTCCTCCCCCTGCCTGGAGAAGGATGAATGGGAGGCCTCACGGGAATAAGTATGATGTGTATTGCTTCTTTCGCCAGGTGCAAGCCCAGCACCCAGTGCGGCTACATCCAGGACAACGCGTTCATGAAGTTTCATGATTTCGATTGTTCCATCACGGCCACGTCGGTCTTTCCACCACGGCACGCCCTCCTCCTCCTCCTCCTCCTTGTCTTTTCTCACCCTTTCCCCGCTCCCCCACTCTCTCGTCACTTCCTCCTGGCCCTGCGTCCCACCTTCCGCCCCCTCCCTGTTTCTTCTTTCCCTTCCTTCTCCCTCCTCCCCCTATCGTTTTCGCCCTTCCACTATGTAAGCATGACCTTTCGGAGGTCCGCGCGGACTTCCTGACTCGGCGTTGGACCCCCCTAGCGCAACGGGGGCGGCGTTGGAGGCAGCGCCATGGGAGCCAGCGCGAAGTCCAAGAACTCCTCGCGTACCTGCGATTCCTGTTTGCTTGTTGTCTTGTTCCTCGTCTGCCCGCTTCCCCCCTCCCTCATTCTCACTTCCCCCGTCCCCCCCCTTGCAGTCGCCGAGCGCGCTCGACTACTCGCAACGTGCCTACTCGCAACAGTTCTAAAAACCATGCGTCTGCCCTTGTGCAATACATCGTAAGTCCCCTGCGGCGGATCAAAGCCACGTGCGAGTAGCTACTTTGCGAGTCGTGGAACGCGCTTGTCTACACAGGGTGGACGGCACCATCAAGTGCAAGCCCTCCTTCACGACCGCTGGCATCTTGGTGATCCTCGCGGCGGTGGTCCTCGGGCTCTCGTGCTGCGGGGGGTGCACGTGGTGGTGTTGTTGCCGCAGCCGCCGCCGCTGAGCCGTCGCTCCCACGCCCGTGGTCGCGGCGCCCCGTCGGGCTTCGGAGAGGCGGGGGAGGAGGAGGAGACGTGGAGGAGGAGGAGGCGGATGAGGAGGAGGATTGAGGGTAGGGAGGGAGGGAGGGAGGGAGGAGGATGAGGATGAGGATGATGATGAGGAGGAGGAGGAGGAGATTGAGGAGGAGGCTGATGCTTATGTTGATGCTGATGCTGATGCGGATTCTGATGCTGCCGTTGCTGCTGCTGACGATGCTGCTGCTGATGATGATGATGTTGATGAGGAGGGGGAGGACAATGTGGTGGAGGAGGCGGGTGGGGAGGTAGTATGCTGATGCTACTGCTGGTGTTGCTGCTGATTAGACTGATGACGATACTGATGGTGATGATGACGAGAAGGATGATAATATCGATGGGGCGATGCTGACCACGATTAGGTTGACGGTGCTGACGACGCTGATGATGTTCTTGACAAGGATGACGATGTTGATGGTTAGGTTGACGATGCTTATGCTGTTGATGATGCTGACGATGGCGATGGTGATGATGATGCTGATGACAAGTATGCTGCTGATGCAGATGATGCGGCTGCCAAGGGTGCTGATGCTGATCGCGATGCTGATGATACTGATGATGGTTATGCTGCTTGTGATGATGATATGTTGCTGGTGCTAACGCTGGCGATGATGATGATGCTGCTGATGATGCTGCTGATGATGTTGGTGTTGCGGTTGTTGCTGTTGTTGGTGTTGTTGGTGTTGGTAATGGTGATGATGATGGTGGCGATTCTACTGATGCTGCTGCTGATGATGTTGTATATGGCCATGGCGATTAATACTACCCATGTGATGCCGATGGTGATGCTGCTGGTGCTGCTGCTGATAGTGCTGACGGTGATGCTGTTGCTGATGCTGATGCTGCTGATGATGGTGATGGTTATGATGATGACGACGATGATGATGATGATGCTGATGCTGACGCTGATGATGATGATGGTGCTGATGCTGATGACGATGATGCTGATGCTGTTCTGATTATGCTGATGCTGATGCTGATGCTGATGATACTGATGCTGCTGCTGATGCTGATGATGGTGCTGATGCTGATGATGGTACGGTTGCTGATGCTGCTGCTGATGATGCTGCTGTTGATGATGGTGCCGATGATGATGCTGATGCTGCTGATGATGATGTTGATGATGCTGATGATGATGCTGATGATGCTGATGATGATGCTGCTGCTGATGCGGCTGATGATGGTGATGTTGGTGGTGGTGATGTGGATGACGATGGTGATGGTCATACTGCTGTTTATGGCAACGCTTAATATCCAGCTGCCTACGGCAAGTCCGGCCACCGAGCCAGGGTTGTGGGTATGCCGCCGATTTGATGTTCGTTGGGATCTCGTGGGAGGGGTCTCGGGGCCCTATTGCATGCAGTTTTGAAGCCTCTTGGGGGCGGCCACTTGGGAGTCTCTTGGGGACCTCTTGGGGCCTCTTGGGGGGCGCCTCTTGGGGCCTCCTGGGGGCCTCTCGGGGCGGAAGTCTCGGATTTTCGGTTCATGTTCCCTCTCTTGGGCCCCTTTTGGGGCCATCTTGGGGCCCTCTTGGATCGTTTTGGGCGCCTCTTGGGCCGTCTTGGGGCGCTCTTTGGCCGTGGTGGGGCCCTCGTGGAGGCCTCTTGGGCTGTTGTGGGATGGTTTTGCGGGCCTCTTCGGCCGTCCTGGAGCCTCGGGAAGCCAAAGAGGCGAGAAGGCCAACCACCTTCAAAAACCAATGGAACATCAATGACTGTTGCCTCTTTGAGGCCTCTGAGGCCATCCTGGACGTCTTCGAGCGATCGTTCGGCGACTCGGGGCCCTCTTGGACCGTCTTGGGTTGCCTCCTGGCATGGGAGCCTCGGAGAGTCTCAGGGAGGTGCCATGGCCGCCCAGGGACCCCCTGGTGATAGGGGCGATTCAGTCAGGGAAGTGTAACCGGGGGGGAGGGGTACAGGAACCCTGCCAGGCAGCCCTTCGCATTCTTCCACGCATCAACGTGCCGCAGGCACGGTGGTGGATTATGATGATGATAATGATGATGGCGATTTGGGCGACGACGAAGATAGTGATGATGACGATTATTATGATGATGATGCTGATGTCGAGGATGATGCTGCTGCTGAAAATGATGATGCTGATGCTGGTGGTGGTGCTGATGATGATGCTGCTGCTGACAATGCTGATGTTAATGATGGTGCTGACGATGATGCTGATGATGCTGATGGTTATGATGCTGTTCATGATGATGCTGATATCGATGCTGATGACGATGATGCTGATGATGCTGACGATGATGATGACGATGACGATGATGCTGATTATGATGCTGATGCTTATGATGATGATGCTGATGGTGGTGATGATGATGCTGCTGATGCTGCTGCTGCTGATGTTGCTGATGATGCGGATGATGATGATGCTGATGATAAGGATGTTGAGTATGACGATAATGTTGCTGCTGCTGGTTGTATTTGTGCTGGTGATGATGGCGAGGACGATGCTGGCCAGGACGTGGCGTATGGAGATGGTAAGAATGTGGAGGCAGAGCGATGATTCGGGTGTTGCTGCTCTTGATGAAGGTGATGCCGCTGATGCTGATGATGTTGATGTAGTTGATGGTGATACTGGTGATGGCGGTACATGCGGACGATGATTAATATGATGCTGATTGTGACGATGATGATGATGCTGATGCTGCTGCTGATGATGATGATGATGATGATGATGCTGATGCTGATGCTGATGATGATGAGGATGGTGCTGATGCTGATGATGATGATTATGATGCTGCTGCTGCTGATGATGAGGATGATGAGTCTGATGGTGCTGAGAAGGAGGATGAGGAGGAGGACAAGGACAAGGAGGAGGCGGGTGACACGGGATGAACATGATGATGAAGATGAGGAGGGGAGAAGGAGGATCGGGAGGAGCAGGATGGACAGCAGGAGGATGATGGAGGAGGAGGATGAGGAGGGAGGATGGCTGATGTCGCCCGCCTGTGGCCGCGCCATTGTAGACCAATCGCCCGCGAGCTGCCTGGCGCATGCAGAACTTAGCGCTGGCCCTTGTGCGCGGGGAGCAGGATGAGGAGGATGGACTGGGGCGGCCATGATGAGGCTGATTTGCTTATGGTGGCGATGATGTGATTCTAGTGACCGTGGTGATGACGACGTCGACGATGGCGATTGCGATGACGACGATGGTGGTGGCGGCGATGATGCTGAGGCTGATGATGACGATGGCGATGGTAGGCGACGGCGATGAGAAGACGATGATGGTGGTGATTGTGACGACGATGATGATGACGCCAGAACGAGAGAGAGGAGGAAGAGGATCAGGAGGAGAGGGGGGCAGGACGAGGGGGAGGAGCAGGAGGGTACGCATCGTGCGGCCCAGGCGAAGCGCCGTGGGAGGACGGGGGGGAGAGGCGACCGGAGGCTCGCGGGCGGGAGCCTGGAGGGAGGAGCGAGCGGGGCGGGGGCAGGGGCCGGGAGGCGAGAGGCCCGCGGCGGGGAGGCAAGAGAGTCGATTACACGTAAGAGTGACCCTTCGCCGGAGTGACCTCTGGTGAGGGCCCAACGGGGTCCCCCGATCGCCGAGCGCGAGGCGACTTTTAGCGTCTTGCGCTCTTGTGTTTGGTCCCCCCCCGCGGCCCCCCAAAAGCCGCGCACCAAAGATCACTCTTACCTAGGGTCACTTTGCGTGTGGCCGAGAGAGGCAGGGGCTGGGGGGAGCCGCTGGCAGCGCGACGGCGCGGCGGCGACGCTGGCCCAGGCGGTCGGAAACATAGATCAAGGGGGCGTGGGTTAGCGACGGGTCCCGCTTCTGTGGGAGATCGCGGATGTCCGCCGCCGAACGAGGCGGCACCGGCCGGCGCCAAATCCATGGGTCGCCAATTCATGTTTGCACGCCCCCGATCTGGCGGTGGCGACGCTGCGAGCTCGGCTCGGACACCGGGATCAACAGAGAAGAGCCCACGGCGGGAACCCATACGCAAGCTACAGTTGGGGCCCATGCCAAGGAGCACCCTGCTTGCCTCCAGGGTGCCTTGGGTTTCTTGGGTTTCGATGGTTCTGCCATGGGAAGCGCGACGTTACCACACCAAAAGTCAGTGGACGTCCTGGGTTCCAGGGTTGGGTTTCTTGTGGGAGGTTTCCTGCGGTCGGGCTCCTACTGTCACGACAACCCTGGCCTCGGAGGGTGCCTTCGTGTTCTTCGTGTTTGGGGCTATCTTCGTCCAGACGTGGGAATGATTTTTCGCCGGAGTGACCTTTGCTGCGGGCCCCATGGGGTCCCCCGATCGCCGAACGCGAAGCGGAAGCAGCGTCTTGCGCGCCCAGGTTTGACCACCCCGCGTCCCCGTTAAGCCGCGTACCAAAAACCACTGTTGCCTGGGTACTTCACCGTTTTTCGTTCAAAATCACCCTGTAGGGGGACAGGCCCGACCTAAGTGTAGTCGATATCCACCTTACCACGGTCTTCGTTTTGGGGCATCTCCACGGTGCCTTGGCCCTCGGCCCCGTGGGGCTGGTGCTCCTGGCCCAGGTTCCCGTTGCCAGGTTTCGGCTGCCTGGGAGCAGACGCCAGGCTAAGGATCATCCTGTGCTCTGGAGGGGCTCCGGCATTCGGGCCGTTCCTTCGATCTGGGTTTAGTCAGTCCCTCCACAGGAGGACTACTCAAAGTAGTGAAAAAGCAGTCTGTGGACGATATTTTGAGCATTCTTGACTCTTCTTAGGCATTTTGTTGTAATTTTTTGTTGTTTCGTCCAAATTTCGGAGGTTGATAGACCTACCCTGACACGTCGATTAAGGAATTGGCCGTTTTTGCTTCGTGATGAGGCGTCGCGGCCGTCATTTCTGCGGTTCCAGATCCGTCGGTTTCGGTCCCAGGCCGTTTTCACTAAATGGGAGTTTACTACGGGAGGTTTCTCCACCGCCGAAAAACCGCCTGTCGGGGGACATGCCCGACCCAAAGCTGGGTCGGGGAGCCTACTCGTGGACGAGGCTTGGCTTGGGATGGCCACTGCGGGTGGCCGGCCTGGTCTGTGGCACCTGCACACGCGCAGCGGCATTGACGATCCCCCCTGGCGCCCCTGACCCCAGGTCGCCGTGCGCGTTCCACTCCTCGCAAATAGCCTACTCGCAAACGTCCGGAAGCCAATTGTCTTCATAGGTGTGATATATGGTAAATCCCCCGCGGCGGATCCAGGCCACTTGCGAGTAGTTACTTTGCGAGTAGTGGAACGCGCTCGCCTAATGATGGCGTGCCCGTACATGGTCCAGTGTTTGCCGCCGTGTGCACTTTGCTATGATGCTCGTCCAGGATGTTGGGGGCGGGGGGTCATTGACCCTGATCGGCGGCCACTGTGGAGGATCGGGTCTTGACGAAGAGGAGAGAGTGCTGGGTAAGGGGTGAGTGGATGGGAAGAGGGGAGAGGGATGAGGTGCATCGCGAGGGTGGAAGGAGGGAGGGTGAAGGATGACGAGGTCGTGGAGGAGGAGGAAGCGGAGGGCGATGGAGGTGGATGAGGAGGAGGATGAGAAGGATGATCATCAACAGCAGCACATCTGCGCTCGCCGCGCGAGGGCCGGCGAGCGCTCTGCGTTACAGTAGCCTGTGGGGGCGGCGCTTCTCTCCCCTCACCCCCTGCTCCTGTCTTCTCCTGAGACGCGAGAACGGACGCTGTCTGGCTCGCCTCTCTTCTCACTTGTCACGTGTTCTTCTTCCTCACTTTGCTATCAATTATCTGACTAATACTCAGCGGCGTCATCACCATCATCAGCAGCACCGCCGTTGTCGTCATATTCACCAACACCATGTTCATTGTGGCACCATCTCCTTCGTCAGAGTGAGGCGGCCGAACGGTGATTCACAGTCCCTTGGCGGGTGACTGAAGTGAGGTTCTGCTGTTCGGATTGTTGTAGTTGTTGCTGCTGTTGTTGCTGTTGCAATTGTTGTTGCTGTTGAATTCTTATTTCTGAAAAATTATTGCTGATCCCCCCCCCTACCGGTGCATATTGTTTTTTCTCAATCAATGTGTGCCCCTCGACGCTCGCACCCTGTTTTTTGACAGGGGAAGTCTTCCTGGTCAAACTGGCCCCCTGGGCCCCGGGTTACAACAACAACGGCTCCCGCCTGAGATTTCCTTGCAATTTAGCCAGGACCCGCGCTCCTGCCCGAGACCTCTTCGCATTTTATTCAGGAATCGCGCTCTCGCTTGGGATTTCCTTACAATTTATTCAGGAATCGCTCTCCCGGCGCTCTGGAGTCGCGCTCTCGCTGAAGACTTGCTTGCAACTTACTGAAGAATGGAATGGCCTTGCGTTGGAATTTCCTGCGATTTGCCCAAGCGCCGCGCTCCCGACACCCAGGCACCCAGGAGTCGCGCCTATTGTGGCCCCATGTGCATGCCCTTCGTGGCCCCGCTGTCGCCATTTGTGTCCCCCTCACTGTCCTACGTGGCCCAGTTGCTACCCTCAGTGGCCCCACAGTTGCCTTCTGTGGCCCCGCATTATCTGCACTTCGTGGCCCCCGATCGTTCGCGCTCACGCATTCCCTTTGTGTCCCCGCTGTCGCCCTTCGTGGCCTACTTCGTGCCCTTCGTGGCCCTGCTGTCGTTCTCTCGCTCTCGCTTTCGCTGGTCGTCGCCGTCGTCGTCGTCGTCGTCGTCGCCGTCGTCTTCGACGTCGTCGTCGTCGTCGTCGTCGTCGTCGTCGTCGTCGTCGTCGTGGTCGGTCCCCTGTCTGTCCCTCTTCGGGTCGGGTCGACGGTCCGCAGCCGCCCCGCCGATCAGCGCTGCCGCTGGCCAGGCCGACGGTCCGCGGCCGCCCCGCCGCTTGCCGGGGCCCGGCCTGCAGGGAAGAAAGGTATACCCCCCAAAAAGGGTTCGATCGAAGACGAAAAGGGCGGGTATCGAGGGTTTGGGAAATACGCGTTATTGGACCCTCGAGCATATAAGGGCGAACAGTCTTGAAGTTATTGTTGTTGTTGTTGTTGTTGTTGTTGTTGTTGTTGTTGTTGTTGTTGTTGTTGTTGTTGTTGTTGATGATGATGATGATGATGATGCTGATGATGTGGTTGTTGTTGTTGTTGTTGTCGTTGTTGTTGTTGCTGTTGTTGTTGTTGTTGTTGGTTGTGTTGTCGTTGTCGTTGTCGTTCCTGTTGCTGTTGCTGTTGCTGTTGCTGTTATTGGTGTTGCTGTTGCTGTTGTTGCTGTTGTTGCTTTGGTTGAACTCTCACTATCGAAGCAGAATTGTTGTTGATCCCCCCTCTGGGGCACATTCTGCTTTGTCAATCAAAGTGCTTCTCCCAAGGCTCGCACCCTGTTGTTTACAAGGGAAAGGGAGGGGGCACCAAATCTGCCCCCCTGGCCCCCGAGTTACAACAACAACGGCCCCCGCATGGTACTTTCTCACACTTCATTCCCAAATCGCGCTCTCTTACGGGCCTTCGTCACAATTTATGCAGGGATCTCGCTCTCGCGTGGGACTTCCTCGCCATATATGCAGACACCGCGCCCTCGACACTCAGGAACCACGCTCTCCCTGTGGATTTCCCCACGATTTGTTTGGGAATCGCGCTGTCGCTCGAATCTTCCTCGCGATTCATGCAGGACCCACGCTTCAGTAACCCGCATGCTCGACCTGGCCGCCTGGACCCGCCTTCGACCCGCCTGTTAGGGTCTACCCGCCCCATCTGCCCGTCTGATTATGCCACGTGTTTTCTACTCCTAGCCCCCCTCCTGCTATTTTCTCTCGTGCTCCATCCTCCTCCCTCCCCCTTGCCCCTTCCTTCCATCCGTGCTCTCTTCCCCTCCGTAGGGGCTGCACGCAATACACATTGCAGGTAAGAAAGATATTCTACCAAGGGGGTACGATCGAAGACGAATTGGGCGGGTATCGAGGGTTTTGGGATATACGTGTTGACTAGCACGCGAGCAGATAAGAGCGAACAGTCTTGAATATTTCTTGCTGCTGTTGTTGTTGTTGTTGTTGTTGTCGTTGTCGTTGCCGTTGTCGCTGTTGTTGTTTTGGTTGTGGTTGTGGTGGTGGTGGTCGTCGTCGTTGTTGTTGTCGTTGTCGCTGTTGCTGTTGTTGTTGTTGTCGTCGTCGTCGTCGTCGTCGTCGTCGTCGTCGTTGTTGTTGTTGTCGTTGTTGTTGTTGTTGTTGTTGGTGTTGTTGTTGTTGTTGTTGTTGTTGTTGTTGTTGTTGTTGTTGTTCTTGTTGTTCTTCTTGTTGTTGTTGTTGTTGTGGTTGTTGTTGTTGTTGTTGCTGCTGCTGTTGTTGTTGCTTGTACTTCGTTTGTTGCTTGTTCTTCGTTTGTTGCTAGTTGCTTGTTGTTTATTGTTTGGTGTCGTCGTCCCCCCCGCGACCCCGCCCGCGACACACCTGCGATACACCCGCGACCCGGCCCGCGACCCACCCGCGTCACACCCGCGACCCGGCCCGCAAACCCCCCCGCGACCCACCCGCGACCTGGCCCGCGACCCGCCCGCGACCCGCCAGCGACCCACCCGCGACCCACCCGCGACCCACCCGCGACCCACCCGCGACCCGGCTCGCGACCCCACCCCGCGACCCCACCCCGCGACCCGCCCGCGACCCGCCCGCCACCCACCCGCGACCCACCCGCGACCTGGCCCACGACCTGGCCCGCGACCCACCCGCGACCCACCCGCGACCCATTCGCGACCCACCCCGTGACCCAGCCCCACCCCACCCCACGACCAATGGTGGGTTGGTATATACATATTGTTTGTGCGAGAAGTCTACATGGCGATTCTTTTTTTTTTTTTTTTTGTTGAAATCAGTTGAAAGATTTGATCGCCCGCATTTCAATCACGACTCTCATAAAACATCATTCGATCTTCAGAGACGAGGACCACACTGTAATCCCTCTTACCTCCTCCACTTTCCTTCCCCCCTTCCGCTCCGCCCCCTCCTCTTCTTCCTCCTCCCTACTCCTTTTTGATCCCTCCTTGTCCTGTGGCGTCGTTCTCATCCCACTCTCTTGTCCCCCTCCCACCTCCACTTGGTCCCCTCGTCTTCTCCTCCGCCTCCACGTCCCAGGGGATCTTTCTCTGCCTCCTGCGCTGCCCCCAGCCAGAGCATCCTGCGTCCAGGCATTCAGAATCGCAATGGCTGCGGCGCGCGCGGGCGGCGCTTGGGTAGCACAGGGCTCTGACCCCGGTACGCTCGTGCCCCCATTTAGGGGGCGTCTGGCAGTCCGCGTCAAACCACACGATAACCATCCTTTTCCGCTTCCGCATTCGCCTGCTCCTCGTCGCCCCAACCTCGAGGAAGCCAAACGGCATAAGCCGCGGAGCTTGTGGCAACTCCGCGTGGATCTCTTTGATCGGCATTGGGCCCCCTCGCGGAACGCCCCAGCGGCGGCGCCGGAGGCGCCGCTAGGGGGGTCCAGTGCCGATCCAGACAAGTCGTGCGGACCTGCGAAAGTGTATGTTCATGCAGGGTTCTTCCTCTCCTCCTGTTTCTTCTAGCTCCTCGTTCTTCTTCGCATTTTTCATGCTCTTCTCCTTATGTTTAATGCTCTTCTCCTACTATCCACCTCTTCCTCCTCCCTCCCCCGCCCCTAGTCCCAACCCCCCTCCTCGCTCATCCCCCTCCTCCCGTTCCTGCTCCCTCTTTGAGGCCACGGCACCCACGCCGTGCCCTCGCATGCCCTCATGTGGGCACAGCCGGGCTCCCCGGAGGAGCGCGCACGAGTCTGGCGTTCATCTCGCTTTGCACTGCTGCTCGCTCCTGCCGCCTCTCGGCGGCAAAACCCGGACCCTAGGCCCTCGCCGATCCACGATGCAGGTAACGGGAATGGCAGCAGGGGTCGGGTTCGGAATTCGTCGAACACGTGGCGAAAGCCGGACCCTCCCCCGCCTCCCATCGATTCAGGAGAATTAGTGGGTGTAGGGCTCGGATGTCGCCAACTTTCCCTCCTGCTCCACTCTCCCCCAGGCTCGCTGCGGGCCCCGCGTCTCCTGTCTCCAGGGGGGCGTGTTTGCTCGTAGTGAGTCTGCCGAGGGCCCCGAGGCCGCGGGGCCGATTCGTGACAGGGCGATTAGGACCGGCGGCGAGCGGGGGGGGGAAGTGAGAAGGGGCGGGCCTTCTCAGAAGGCTCGGAAGCCCCCTGGCCTTCTGAGAAGGTTTCTAACCCTTCCCCGAAGACACAGATAACTTTTCAGAAGGCGCGAGGGCTTCTGAGAAGTCCTGCCGCCTTCTGAGAAGGCCTCCTGCTGCTCACTTCCCCACCTCGCTCGCCGCCGATAGGAGAGTCACATCCCCCAAGCTGGCCATCCCCCAACCTTACCTTTCCTTCCTTCTCCCCTCTGCCTTCCTTCTGGTGCTCTCCCTCCTAGCACCCAGATTGGGCTATGCAGTCGACGCCGTATTAGAAACTAGCGCTCAAGACGTCACGACCAATAGGACCAACCTTCTGCACTGCCCCCCTCCCCCTCTTCCGATCCGACGAGCCGCGCCCTCGCCCCTTCGCGCGCGCGCGCGCCTGCGCACCCGCGCCGGCGCCAGCTGGAGCGGGCCCGCCCGGGCGGCCTGGAGGAGCTGTTCGCGGAGGGCGGCGAAGCTCAGGCCGCGGGGGCGCGAGTCGGGGGCAATGATACGGGGGGGATGGGCACACGGGGAGGACGCAGCGACCCCCCATCGCCCACTGATCACCGATAGAGGGCCGATAGCCCCGACCTGCCCAGGAATGTGCGGATTCACTACCAGTGGCCTATCGGCGATCAATCAGCGATGTATCGCCGATTCCAGGTCGATGTGCCCCCCCTTAGGCAGTCCCCGCGTATCGTTGCCCCTCAGCGAGGGGGGCGAAGAAGAAGAAGCAACGGCATAAGCATTAACCTTCAACTGTCCGCGCGGACTGATCTGCGCTGGGTCCACCTGGCGTCGCATCTGGCGACGCCTGGGAGGTCTAGCGCAGGTCCGAGAAATCCGGGCGGACCGTTGACAGTTTATGTGCATGCCGTTTTGTTTTCTTCTAGACTAGTTGGATGAAGGGGTGGGGGGGATCGAGGATCGAGGATCGAATGAGCTGGAGGAGGACGCCGTCCCTTCGTCTCTGTCGAGCACGAGCCGTCCGACGGCCTCTGCAAAAGCTCCGGGTGAGACCCATGGGTGTTGGTCGCGCTCGCCCTGCACAGCAGGCTCCACGTGACGGGTGCGGCCGACGAAGGCGAACTCGAGCATCACCAAGAAGGTGAGCTGGAACACCGAGTGGAAAACACATCGAACCACCCCCTTGGTCAACGTCAAGTGCGTGGGAATAACAAGACGAGGCCCATCCCGACGAGTGGCACGGAAACACAGGTCGGCGATCCACGGCGTGCATGAAAAGCAAGCGATGCAGGCCCAGCACAAGTATGACATAAACCAGTATAGTTCATGAGTTCAAAGGCGACAGCATGCATACTCCGAATACAACCAGAAGACCTGCACCGTCGCACAGCAGCCAGAGATGAACGCGTCACCCAACAAGGATCCACCGAGAGCCCACTGCATCGCATACCACGGAGATGACAGGAGGGAGGGACACAGCACCGTGGAACGTCCCTGCACGAGGCGAGCCCTCTGAGGAGGCCCGCTCCTTCTCACCCTCCCCCCCCCCTCGCTCGCCGTCGACCCCAGCTGCGGGCTGCCAGTCTGCCTGCCCTCCCCTCTGGCCTTGCCCCCCCCCCCCCCCGGAGAACCTGGGGGGCCTCGTCTTCCGCCCGGGGACCGCGGCCCTGTCTGGCCACGACTGCTCGTGGCCTTGCTCTTCGCTCTGGCGCTGCCCCGCTCTGGTGCGCGTTTCCGCCTCGTGCGTCGGCGGCGGGCCAGTGGGGGACACCGTGCAGGAGGAGGCCTTCTCGGAAGGCGGCGACCCTCGCAGAGCCTGCACTAGCACGCAGATCATCGTATGCGGCAGGAGAAGCTCGGACTCCTGCGAGACTCCGTCCGCACCAGAGCCCATCACCAAACTCACGCTGATCAGGCAGGGACGCCCCAGAGCCGTCGCCGTGGCCGTCGTCGTGGCGGCGGGGGCCTGACAACCAGCCGATAAACCGATAAATCGGTAAACCGATATGCGGCGCAAGGATCGACTTCTGAAGAATGCCCCAAGCGGTCTCAGACCAGCCAGTGATCTTATGAGCCGGTAAACCGATAAACCGATAAACCAATAAATTGATAAAGCCATTCTGCGCTGAGATTAGCACACGATTGCGATGAGACGGTTTATCGGTTTATCGGTATATCGGCAGACCCACCGATACACCGATACAATCATATCGGTTTATCAGTCGATCTGCCGATATACCGATAAACCGATTAGTTTTTTTATCGGTTTATCGGTTTATCGGTCGGATGGATTTCCGCCACCGTTTGCCGCTGTACTCTGTATATATATATATATATATATATATATATCAATATCAATGGCCTTCGGCCCACGCCGCCACCGTGAGGGGAATTGTGGGTCCGTGCCCCCCAGCACGACGGAAAGAGCAGCAAACAACGACAACCAACCAAGACAATGCACCTGATGCACAATCTCGCCCAGCTCGACGGGCCACCGCGATGGAAGACCCGACCGCGACGCGTCTCATCCTCGGCCTCCTTCTCGTCCTCCTGCTCGTCCTCCTCCTCCTCGTCCTCCGCCTTGTCCTCCTCCTTGACTTCCTCGTCCTCGTCCTCCGCCTTCTCGTCCTCTTCCTTCTCGTCCTCGTCCTCGTCCTCCTCGTCGTCCTCCTCGTCCTCCTGCTCCTCCTCGTCCTCCTCGTCCTCGTCAGCCTCCTCGCCCTCCTCCTCGCCCTCCTCCTCCTCCTCCTCCTCCTCCTCCTCCTCCTCCTCCTCCTCCTCCTCCTCCTCCTCCTCCTCCTCCTCCCCCCTTCCCCGCCCAGGCGGCCAGGGCGGCGGCGCGCCACAAGCTGGTGGGCTCGGCCGGCCGCAGCCCGGCTCGGGCGTTGGCCGCCCGGCGCTCCTCGGCGGCCGTCGGCGGCCGCCGCCAGCGGCCGTTGCGGCGGCTTGGCATCGGAGGTTTTGGGCGGCCGTCGGCGGCTTTGGGCGGCCGTCGGCGGCTTTGCATCGGAGGCCGTCGGCGGCTTGGCATCGGAGGCCGGCGGCGGCTTTGAGCGGCCGTCGGCGGCCATCGGCGGCCGTTCGGCGCTGGATTTCCGCGCTCGGTTTCCGTGCCCAGCGGGGCCGCCAGGATTGGTGCCTTCGGAGTGTTCCAGTGGAGGGGCGGAAGAGTAGAAGGATGAGGCGAGGAGGAGGAGGAGGAGGAGAAACAGTGTTCAAGTGTGGTAGGCGTCGCTGGCGTCGCTGGCTCCAGCCTGGTGCCACCCACTTCCTTGTGCGCATGCCCTGGGACGTACCGCCGAATGCATTCGCTTGAGCGCCGATGGCGGGCTGGGTGCCGTCATCGTCTGAGCGCTGGAGGAATCCTTGGCAGCCAGGCTGTTTCGCATCAGTCTGTGGCAGGACAGCATGGAGAGGTCTCGCTCATTTTGTCGTTCTCCATCGTCGTCTACTGGCACGGGCCTGTTAACTTGCACTCGAGGGATACTCTCAGGGTCTGAACCTCGTATCAGCAACGACTTTTGGCGTCCAGAGGCTGATCGCGAATGCCAGTATTCCATTGTTTGGCAGAGCTGTGATTACACCCCTTGCTTGGTGTGGCCTGCGCCATTTGGAGTGGTGATGCGCTGCTTGGGCTACGGAGGCGACGTGTTTTCTCATTGACCGCATGGCCCAAGACATTGGCTCAAGTAGTAGTGGCTCAAGCTTTGTGGGCTCAAGGCCCGCCATACAATCGAAGCAAACCGATCAAACGCTGGCACGATGCATGCTCAAAGTTTGTTGCGTGGGTCATGGCGAATCAAGGCATGGCGCGAACGCGCTTAGAGCGAAGGGGCATACGGGGCAGGAGCCGGAAGACAGGGGATTAACATGTCAACGCCCAGGAAGATCTGAAGGGCATGATCATGGACAAACATATCGACCTCATATACGAGATGTCTGCCGAGACGAAGTGAGACATCTGTCAAACCAAATTGGTTTCTGTCAGAACGCGTTGGTCACCAGCGAGGTGACGGTGGAGAAAGTGACGCGCATAAGCTGCACAGCCGACGGCATTAGCGACGCAGCAAAGAAACTACAAGCCAGGGGCCGGGGGGCGAAGTGGCAGATTATATCCAGCGCTCAAAAGCCAAGTTCGATGGCAGGCTGGGCGTCAAAGGGGAGAGGGGGGGTCAGTACCCCAGGGGGTGGAAGATGGCCTACGCGAGCAGTTTTGTTTGTGGAACGTTTGAAGGAGGAGCGGGATGGGGAGGACATCGCATCCCAATTGGAAGCGGTCGTCGAGGAACTTGCATGGGAAGGGGGGTTTGAAGCAATTTGGATTCGTCGGCCCGTCGAAGATCGGAGTGGTGCCATTCTGACGCACTGCGCCCTTCTTTGGGTTCTTCAGGAAGG